TTTGAACATTTGAAAACATTTTAATATACCTAAAAGTTGTCCATCTTCTAAGCATATGAAGATAAAGATTAGAAAGGTATACCTGAGAATGAGATCAGATCAGATAAAGATTATGATGTGATCCCCTTTAGAATATAACTCAGAATCTCATACAAGTGGCTAGAATTTGACAGTTAAGAATATTAAGATCAGATTCAGATTCAGACTCAGACTCAGACTCCCCCTCAACATATTGATCAGATATTCATACAGACAGATTTAGCATTCCAAACTTTCTTACTAAATATTAAAACCTTTTCTCATCGAGTGGTTTTGTAAAAATATCAGCAAGCTGAAAATCTGTTTGTACAAAGTGCATTTCAATTGATCATTTTTCAACATTATCTTTGATAAAGTGATACCTGATATTGATGTGTTTTGTCTTGGAGTGTTGAACTGGATTAGTTGTTATAGCAATAATGCTCTTTGAATCACAGTTGATAGGGAATTTGTTGAAAGTGTATTCGTAGTCTTGTAGTTATGTCTTCATCCGAAGCACTTGTGAACAACAACTAGCTGCTGCGACATATTCTGCCTTTGCAGTAGAAGTTGAAACACAATTCTACTTCTTAGAAGTCCAACTAACCAGCTTGTCATCTAAGAACTGACATGATCCAGATGTTCTCTTTCAATCCAGCTTACAACCTGCATGGTCAAAATTTGGAAAAGCAATTAGCTCAAAACAGAATCTTTCGGATACCAAAGGCCAAGATTTGGTCTGCCTTTGAGATATCTTAGGATTCTTTTGACCGCGGCAAGGTGTGACTCTTTAGGATTAGCCTGATATCTTACACAAAAACATGTTGCAAACATTATATCTGGTCTACTTGACGATAAGTATAATAAAGATACAATCATGGCACTATAATTTTGTTGATATACAGATTTACCAAATAAATATGCATCTAATAAAGTTCCAGTAGCCATGGGAGTCTTTATTGAAGAACATTCAGACATATTGAACTTTTTCAAAATATCTTTATTGATTGATTTATGAATATGCCATTAGGGAGTTATTTTACTTCAAGACCAAGAAAGAGATTTAACTCACCCATCATATACTCATTTCAAATATAGACTGCATAATATCTGAAAAGTTTTCGTAAAACTTAGAATTTGTAGAACCAATAATAATGTCATCAACATAAATTTGTATCAAGATCAGATGTTTACCTTGTTTTTTCAGAAACAATGTAGTATCGATCGTATCTTTCTTGAAATCAGACTTTACTAGGAATTGTGTTAAGGTGTCATACGTTGCCCTAGGTGCTTGTTTTAAACTATAAAGTGCCTTGTCTAAGACATAGACATTATCTGGATTTTCAGGATCAACAAAGCCTTCTGGATGACTCATGTAAACCTCTTCATGAAGAATACTATTCAAAAATGCCGATTTGACATCAATTTGGTATATCTTGAAGTTCTTGTGAGTCGTATACGCTAAAAATATTCTAATAGCTTGAATGTGAGCGACTGGAGCAAAGGTTTTGTTATAATCAATTCCTTCTTGTTTGCAGTACCCTTTTGCAATCAATCTAGCTTTGTTTCTCACAATAATTTCCATTTCGTCTTTGTTTTTTCACAAGACCCATTTGTACCAGTAATTGATTTATCCTTAGGTCTCGGTACAAGTCTCCAAACTTGGTTTATTTCAAACTTTTGAAGTTCATCTTGCATAGCATTAATCCAATCTAGATCTTGCAACGCCTCAGATGGCTTATTTGGCTCTATAGCACTGAGAAAATTAACGAAAAGCACTCGTTCAAGCTAGCAGATCGCATTTACACTCTAGAATTCACATTACCAATTATTTGCATTGAGGGATGATCTTTAGTCCACTTGTGTATAAAAGGTAAGGGTTGAGCATCAATTAAGTTGTTTTGATCATCATACTCGTCGATTACAGCTTGTATTTCAGCTTTAACTTCTAAGTATTCAGCTTCATTAGCAGGTAAAACAGACTCAGATTAATCATAACAACAGGTTGATAATTTTAGATTGAGAATGTGCTTCAGCTTGAACAGGCTCAGGTTCTGTAACTTCAACAGTTTCTAGATGAACACCATTTGATGTTGAACAACCATCTTTAGATGGTCCAGAAAGTTATGTAACTTGCGGAATCGGGACCACTGGTTCATTAACTTTGAGTAAGTCCATAAAGATGCTTGCTTTATAAAACTTTGGGGGGGAGATTGTTAGGACCAAAACTTGTCTTAATTAATCTGAAAATTTTATTAAAGCAATTTGGCCTAGGGATGAAAAAAATCAGAGATTTGTTGAGCTAAAATGACTAAGTCTGGAAGAGCACACATAGGCTCTCTGGACGACTAAAGGTCCTTTGGACGACCAGAGCTCGGGTACTTGGACATAAAGCTCGCACACTCGGATACAGAGCAAGCGCACTCGGACTTAGAGTACGGATACTCGGATACAGAGGGTAAGAAGACCGAAGACATGTGCATGTGCCTAAACGCCAAGTTCTCGAATAGAGAGCGCAGACACAGAGCCTTTGCATAGTACATCCAGAGCCTCTGGGTCTTCCACAGATACAGAGCTCTTCTGTATAAACTGTTCCTATGTATGAGCTACTTCTTTGGTTGGTCTATGCTTTGGACAACTATCTTCAGATCAGCTAAGTGAACGAAGTGTGACTCGATAAGGATGGTGCTGATCCTATTTACGATAAATATTACTTTCCATATTTATAGGATTCAGTTTCCTTGTAAATATCACCTATATAAGAGGTGATATAGGGATAGAATACAAACGATTTTTTCACAGATCGATATACATGGAAACACACAAACATCACATGAGATTCAATTTGGGTTTTTAGAGAGTTTGTACTTTTCATCTAATAAAGAAAGCGGTAGGTTTCTATCAATGGTCTTCTACATTCTCTCCGTTACTACCGTTTTACTTTAATATACTTGCAGATCTGGGACAACATACTAGGATCATTCTGATTTAAATACTTTTAATCAATTTGAAGATTTGATCGAGAATTTTGATGATTTTGATCGAATTTGGTTCTTTGAGTTCGAACACTGTTCTTGAAAATTTTGAACAAATTAGCGTATTTTGATCCATAATTGAACAAAGTTTGTTCATTGATTATGTTAGCATAGCCAAATCGACCACCAAATCCCGTTCTAATTGTGTTTTGATGATTTTTGAAATATCTGAGTCGAACATATGGAGTTTTTCACCTGATGTGAGTATATCGCATGTTTTCCGGAGTATATTGCATGATTTGAGTTTAATGAATAATTTGGACTTGTTGCATGATCTAAGGATTTTTGTGATTTTATCTCACAACAAAGAATTTTCCTTGGAATTTATCGCATAAGCTTTATGCGATATATTGGCTTATGCAACAAAGGTGTATATCGCACAACACTCTGTGCGAAAATTAATTGGAGTTTATCGCACAACATTGTGCGATACTTGAGGTTTATCGCACGACACTTGGTGCGATATAAAGTGATTTATTGGTGTGCAATAACTGACTTTTTTGATTGACAATTGACTTATTCAATCTGCAATAGTTGACTTCTGAGGGTTGACTTTTTGTTCTAAGTTTGACTTTTCAAAGTTTGGATTATTTCAAATCATTTTGTTTACGATCACTTCAAGTACATGACATTGTCTTCATATTTTGGTGCTTTCAAGAACTGATTTGGATTACCAATTATGCAGTTGATCGACATACCTATATGTTAATATCAGGTTATTAAATAAGCGTTAAAACACAAATCAAACTTACTTTGCTAAGAATTCTCTAGGGATAACCTTTTTGCTTCACAGTTGGGTTGCAATAACTCTATTGCTTGTTCTTCTGAATTAGAAGTCAAAAACCCATCGTCCCTTGCTTCACTAGTATGCACTGCTCCAATCAATGTCAAAATCACCATTAAACACTTGAATGTCGATGTTAGACTAAACGTGTTGCATTGCTACTTCTGGACCATCATCTTCGATATCAATTATTGGATTCTTCATTGCTTGGTCTGTGGTATCTTCAACATCAATAAATCTCCTTCATCATTGCAAGGATTATGATCAACTGAAGAAAGCATAAAACCAAAGCCTTCTACTGTTTCTTCAAACAAACACACACCTTCTAAGTTTAATTGGTTAAAGAAATTCATATAACTAGAGAAAAAAATTGCATATATTCTTTGATCCCTTTAATTTTGGATATGATTAATGTAATATAAATCCCAAAATAACACCCTGAATCAAAAATTACTAATCAACCCTTAATTAAATAAATAAATATTTAAAAGTAATTAATTAATCTATGTGGTCAATAAACGATCTCACGGATCTCACAAAAAAAAGAGTATTTAAATAATTAAACTCGTATATATAATATGCACATACATATGCAAATTTGCATATCAAGTCAAGTTTTTAACTGATGTCTTGATTTCGTCGTGAATGGTGATCCACAATGTTTGATCACGTTATGTTTAACAAGTCACTTTATTTAAAATATTTCGTCAATATAAACCTTTAATATGTTTTTACAATTCAATTTGTGGTTGGTGTACTTATTTTATGTAACATAGTAAAGCATTTTTACGAATTGTTTTTATTATATTTGAACACCCAATTCTGTAACAAAATATTTTCAGTGATAATCGTCTCTTTTCGTCAAAACCAAAGACATTAAACGTAACAATAATGACAAGCAATCACTTATATTCTATTTAGTTTTAACCAAATTATAATAATTAAAAAAATTATAATACGAATAACTATTCAAAAAACATATATATTGCGACAAGTCGTTTATTGATTTAATATAAATACATTAATCCATGCATTCGTATTAACGGTTGTGGTAAATCTTTTACGAAGAAATGTAATAGCTTTTATTCCATTTATAGAAAAATTTACAAATTGGTTAATTGTTGCATTTATTTGGCGAATCATAACAAAAGATGGAACCCATTTTAACGGAAGAAGTTTCTACTCCGGGGTCGATTGAGGGATGAAAGAATAGAGATCACCACCATGAAACCGAAACCAACAGCTAGGAGAATCGTAGCGATGATCCCACGATCAAGAAACTTGTCTGTTTTGGACTTGAATTCATAAAGATTGATCCCCAGGTCTACATTTGAATTTAATGCCTCAAATATGAATGCAATTAGAGCAACTACATCATCTATAATGATCTTCAACTCCATCGATGCAGCGATGCCAGCACCAACGGCAGATGCCAATAAGTAGCTGACTAACTGCAAAATTTCCGATGCACCATGGCGTTAGCGATCATGAGTATGTGTGTATTTTTCATTCTGAAATAATTTGCCTACTTAAAAAGTGATTGTTAGGGATTTTACACAAAAGTTCGTCTTTTACAATACCAATACATCGATGTCAACACTGCAACAAAACTGGTCTTTTAGCACACATCCGTTCCTAATAAAAAAAATGAATGCACTACAACAAATTTGAGTTTATAGGAAAAGCAAAATAAAATATTGTATTAGCTTTTGTATAGAAAGCTTTTGAGAGTGTCATATGAGTACATCTTTATATAGGACATGACTTGTTTTTATAAGATATCTTTTCGAACAATATCGTATAAAAATGTTATTTGGATAACTAATTTTATTTCAAGAGTATCTTAAAAAGTTTGATAAAACTCACAAAACGTTACATAAACTTAATTTAATACCTTTACATATAACGTACAATCGTTTATTTCCATAAACTTAAATCCTATAAAAGTGTCTATTATGACACTCAAGACAATGGTGCCCAAGACACCAATCTCGTTGTAATTATGGGACTTTAATTTTATAGGACCGAAACTAAATGTTTTATCGTAAGCTGGGATTAATCGGCTCGTATAACGGGTTGGATATCCAGGTTAATAAAAAAAAGTTGCTAAAACAAAATTAGACGACCTAACAAGTTCTATCTACGATATTAGGCAACCTAATAGAACTAAAAAAAATATAATTGTTTTATTTTGCTTTTTATAATATGACATTTTTTAAGGTATCGTGTTTATAAAATGCTAGGAGATTTTTCACAAGTTTCATAAAAAAGTTAATATGATGATTTACTTTTTGTGTCATGTTAGTTGTCTTCTTGATAGAACTTGTTAGGTGGTGTCACTTCGTTCTAACGATTTATTCTAACCCCTTTGAGAAAGAACACAAGTTTTTTCTTATTAGTATTCTAATAAAACACTCTAAGGACAGTTAGTAGTGTATTGCTCTCTGTAACATATAAACCTCATGACATAGAAGGCGTCTTCAGCAACATTGTGACATTGCATTCGAAAGCAAGACGTATATCGGTACGTACCTTATCTGCATAAAAGTCAAATTCTGGGAGACATGAATGGCGAATCAACCTCTTGCCCGTGCACGCATAATATACAGCAAAAGGAATTTGAATCAACAAGTAGAAAACACCGATGACAGCCGTTGCAAAAACAAACCTATCATAAATTAACAGAAATTTTAGCCTCATTGATGATGATTAAACGCATATATCGAGCCGTGAAGTAACTAATTAATTACCTGTAAGTCTTGAGATCCTTCCAAGAAGTCTTGGAACCATCAATCTTGTAAGTGTTGAGAAACATGTAGACAGCAGAAGCAGCTAAAAGCAAAAGTGTGAGGATTCTCAGCACCAGGGTGGAGTATGCTACAACTTTCACTGCCATTGCTAAAGCAACGTACCCAGAGATATGTCAATGGTATACTAGCTTATGATGTTATTCTGATCATGGGTGTCTAGTAGCTATATACACACACACACACACATATATATATATATATATGTGTGTGTGTGTATACAACCATTGCATGCATACAAACTACAAAAGAACACTTGGTCATGTGTAGGTGTTTTCAGTGTGTTAGTTTTGTCTCAAATAGTCATGCAATCGGCCTAATGACATATGATGGTTTCGTTCTCTTGTTGAGTCAGGAGGGAAGCTGCCGCCTGCCTCTCATTTCGGGATTTCCAATTCATTAGCATATTGCTGCTCGTGGCCCAATTCCAAAGACGCCATGTTTGTTCTTTACTGACCAATTATTTGCTATTTGAATGACAAGGGAGATAATGAAAGCGTAAGAATAAAATACTTTATAAAAACCTAAGTTTATAAAACCAAGTTATAAAACATTCTATTTAAAAACATTACAATAGTTTTATAAGACGCTTTTGAATGCTTTAACAAAGTTTTTGTTACGTTTTAAAATAAAGTGTCATGTTTGTTATTTTAGAGGATATTTTTGAGAAATCTCCTATCAACTCATCTTTTTATATAGGACATTTGTTTATATAGAACATTTTCTCAAATAATATTGTGTAAAATAGTTAATACAACATTTTATTTTAGAAGCGTACTAAAAAACATACTATAACACCTAAAAGACTTCTATAAACATATTGTAACACTTTTAAATCATATGTTTTCTGATTTTGTTTTATAAACTTAAGTCCTATAAACTATTTTATTAAGATGTTTAGACATTTTAAAGGTCTTATAAAACTAATTTGTTGCACTAACAGAAATTAAAAGTCATTTTAATGTAAAATAGGTTTACAAATAAGTGTAGTTTATGGGAAAAATATATGGGTAATCATTCATCTTGCCACATAGTAGTAGATCTTAGGGGCCGTTTACCAATATTTTTGGTTAAGTGCTGATTGGGGTAAGAGGTCTGACTGTGGTAAGAGGTCTGACTGTGCTAAGAGGTCTATCTGGAGTAAGTGCAGATTGGATTTTCTTGTTTACCAAACATTTTGTATTAAGTGCTGATTATGTAAAAAAGACCATTATATCCCTCTTTCTGGAGTAAGTGCTGATTGGAAATTATTGTTTACCATATGTATTGTATTAAGAGCTAACATAAAATGTTATTTATCAAAAAATTTAAATATAATTTCAAATTCTTTTTTGCTTACGAAATATATTGATACTCAATATATTAACATATTACAGATTTTCATAATTTAGAACAAGAAGTCATATTTTCTAAAAGCAAAACCACTATTAAAATAAGGACCAACAAAGGAAACAACAACAAACCATCAACAACGAACAAAAAGTCATTACAAGTCTTTAACATAATTGTTTGCGTACAAATAGTTCGCTTACATATATTAATTTCAAGCATTCAACATTAATTGATTTGCAATCTGATCAC